TTGTTTGAGGGTCCCTCAGTCCGGGGTGTCCTCACAAAGCATCTCTCTCATGGTTCACAGGAAGGTGTCACACCAACACACTCTCACTCCATAAACGTCCAGGAGCGACGCTTGGTCAGGGTCCCGTGGCGTGCAGTTGTGACGCTCCTAGGCTCCTTCAGCTTCATAAAGGGACGCAAATAGCTTTCAACTGATTGCAATGTATTCCCATCTGCTGCGGGATTTGACGCTCATGGAAGCTCGGCATTCGTTTGTGTCGGCTGCCCTTAAAGGCAATGTGAGCGTCCATTCCCATTGGATAACGGAGAATTGTACACCCGGAAGTAATGATTCCCCTTACTGTCGATTGATTTTACAGTGATATCTGCACTACTCATCGACTAAAAAACACCAGATTATCCTTGTTAATTACACAACATTGATTGGTTTAAATTGTGTGCAATGCTTTTGTATTTTTCCCCTTCGATTCGGAGAAACAAATATTTGTTCGGAGTAAAGGATGGCAGAAGACACTAAACTACCCAGAATCCCCAGCTATCGTTTAGGACTACACCTTGTGCTCTGTTTGACAAACCCCGTGATTAGTTCTCAAGCTCTGTGATTGGTTGACCTCCAACTGCATTCCATATGAAAAAAAAAAAAAAAGAGTGTGGGAGAGAAACTCCCTCTGGAGTGAACTTTTTGGTATTTTAGCCTTTGCAGACCATTTACATGCACCCAAACCTACAGCATGAACACACTACAGGAAAGGGAAACTCCAAAAAGCATGAGAGCCTCTTTAAGTAGATTAAAGGCAAACTCTTCTAAAATGTCTGTCTCCTCTCTTTTTCAAGTGCCTTTGTGTTATGTGCAATACTCAAGTTACATTGGAGTCTTCCTCATATCCCCCCTATTTCCCCAGAGAGCACTTCCCATTCTTTCAGACAGCCCCAGATGGCTGGAAGAACACCATCAGACACAACCTGTGCTTCAACAACAGCTTCCGCAAAACCTGCAACCAGCTGTGCCGAGATGGCAAGAGGAAGTCGTGTTTCTGGCACCTGACTCTGGACGGCCACCGTCGGCTGAAGGACGAGATTCGCACGTTGACGGGAGAATCCTTGAAGCAGCTGGAGAAGAGCATGTCCCGCCCAGGTATTTGTGATGACACTTTATTCTAATTTAACGACAATCAACACTTCAGATTCCCTACAACAGCCAGTAATTTCAGCTCTCACTGCAGTAGTAAATTAATGCAGAGAACTTTACTAAGTGATAAGATGTTGCTTATTATTCATTTGGTCAAACAATTTGCTACAGAATACCTTGTTCGGTGGTGTAGCAAAGTTGATAAAATGTAGCTTTTTAGGGTTTCAATGTGTCACAAAGATGGTATTATAATGTTTAAATATTAAGACTTTTTTAAGTGAGATACTAACAGCTGTTTTCTTTTTGTTTCAGATGTAATTCAGAGTTTATTTGCAGTGTAAATCAATACATAATAAAACCTTCTATATGGAAAGTATCTGTATTTTTTTCAGTTATGCTGTGTACATTTATGAATGCATTTTGTGTATTTCTTTTACATGCGTTGATAGCATTTTTATGTACTTATGTTACACAAATTGCAGTCAGGTAAATATATGAGCACAACTCAAAGAAAGTGAACTGTTGCAAATCCTACATTTCAATGTTAGGAGGACAAAATACTAACATTCCTTATGTTTTAATGCTTTACTAGCTTGAATATATTTGGGCTCTGCAACCTTTAACATTCTTTGAAATATAGGCATGAATCCCATTATTGCCTTCAATTAACTAAAAAGATGTCATCATTAGACAATCTGATAATGGTGGTTGGTGCTCCTTTTTTAGAACGGCGATTCCGCAAGCAACATCTTATGTGCATGATAAATCACTGTCGAAAATATGAATTATTTCAGTCTCGTCTTGAAAAGGCGTCTCTGGATTCAACAAAGCTAAGTTATTGTTTGTTTCCAAAACTTAGTGTAAATCTTCACTCTGTGAGTTAGGACAGGATCAGGATTATAATGACAACATGGCTGCCTTTCAGCTAGCCGACAGCTGGCATAGTTTAATACAGCAACCTTGCATTTTGAGAGACGCAGGACTTTTGATAAATAATTATATATGATTTTAACTATTCCAATATGTAGTGCACAACTAATAACAAACCTTTCTGATCAGGCATAACAGCACAGTACAACAGTTAACAAATAAACCCATTACTACCTCCATTAGACAAACTATTGAAAACATTCAATACAAATGTACTTAAATAGCCCTAACCATGTTAGTCATTAACTGGCCTAGCTAAGACATATGATAAATGAAATAATTTTGTGATGTGGTAACTTCCTAGAGTGGTAAAATAAAATCCTCTCATTGTGCTCTAAACAACCCTGCATGTATTCTGATAAGCCTTCAAATCAGGTCACTCACTTGACTGTGGATTTTAAATGATATGTTGATTTAAAAAACTGTAAGACTTCTTGATTATTTTTTTTATTGTAAAATTACTGCTTTACTTCTCTGCTTCCTCGTGTCCCTTGAGCAGAATATACAGCGGCATGTGAAGCCTCTGGAGTGTCCTGGTTTTATGCATGAATTGGTCATTAAAAGTGATCTTCACCAAAGTAACAAGTATAGACAAACACAATGTTCTTAAGCTAATAACACACACATATTTATAATCTTTCATGGTTTTATTGAACATACCCATTAAACATTAGAAGTGCTGGTGGTAAAAGTAAGTGAACCCTTGGATGTAATAGCTGGTTGAACTTCCTTCTGCAGTAATAACCCCAAACAAACACTTCGGCAGCTCTAAATCAGACCTGCACAACGTTCAGGAGACACTTTGGACCATGCTTCCCCACAGAACTGCTTCATTTCAGACATATTGTCAGGACGTCTGGTGTGAACGGCTCTCTTGAGGTCATTCCACTGCATCTCTATCGGGATAAGGTCTGAACTCTGACTGGTCCACTAAAAGGCAGATTTTGACTTTTGCCTCATATTTGCTGGGCGCCCACTTCTAGGAAGCACAGCCACACTCCTACATTGGCTCCTTTTTTAGAAAAGGGGTCTAAATATGGATAGATAAATAATTTAACTTATCAAGAGTACTACCCCAAAATCAACCAAAACATGATCGTAGGTCTTCTGAGATTATTTTTTTCGAAACATGATCAACAGATGCTTCGAACAATACTTCCAATCTTGTTTCAATGATTAAAATGAGGTTTGATAACTACTTAGTCAGTTGTTGTAAAAGTCGGAGTTCACTTTTTCCAACCTACACTGTGAATTTTTAAACAATGTTTTCAATATGGATAAGAACAAACCCAATAATTTGTGTGCTATCTTCTTGCTGTGGTCCTGGATCCTCTATCCTGAGTTCTGGATTAAGTTGTGGACTTCGGGTCGTGGCTAAACATGTCTCTGCGGTCCTGCCTGGGTCTCGTCATGCTGCTTTCCCTGAAGGCTCCCACAGGATTGTAGTTGACATCTTCGTAGATTCATCTTCTTATTATAGATGTATGCATTTCCAAACATTTGGGCTACCTATGCTGTAAAATGTATTATCTCTTCGATTTACACACGGCATCTATTGCACGTCTGTCCGTCCTGGGAGAGGGATCCCTCCTCTGTTGCTCTCCCTGAGGTTTCTCCCATGTTCCTCTTTAAACTGTGGTGTTTTCTCCGGAGGTTTTTCATTGTACGATGTGAGGGTCTAAGGATAGAGGGTGTTGTTTTTTCTCATACTGATATTCTGAACAATCTGTGCTATTGTATTAGCTGTAAAGTGTCTCTACTGTAGGCTATTTTTATTATATGTACAGCACTTTGGCTCGACCAAAAATCGTTTATAAATGTGCTATATAAATAAAACTTGATTTGATTCGATCAGTTGAACAAATTCTGTTTATTCACTATTTAACTTTGTTAAGGTATTTGGCAATGATTTAAGTAGTTTTTTGTCTATTTGGTACCTTAATTTGGTATGTTACAATAAATGAACCATTTGTTTTTAGTGAAAAACATTTACAAATATGCTTAAATGTTCCTGATATTACGATATCCATTACTACATTCCTCAGCTGTGCAACATTTGTTATACTCAATGCAAAACTATGAATGGCACCGCATGATTCGATTATGAACAGCGACCGCTCCCTTCTCCTCCTCCCCCTCCTCCTCTTCAGCAGTGCTGTGTCTGGATCAGTGGTGCAGAGATATTACTTTTACATCCAAAGTCATGTCCCCTGGGAACAGGCTCAAAGCACTGCAGGAGGTGGGGGTTTACTTTTTATCAGGGCCGGCCCTAGACTTATGGGGGCCCTGAGCGAGCTTTGGTTTGGGGGCCCATCTCACTCTAGCGCGTTCTCACTACGCACAACACGGAACCAACTTTTGTCTTGTGTTAGCATAGGCACACATATCGTATAAATAAGCATGTAAACACCATGGACCTAACATCCTCTAAGGGGGTCCTCACCTCCTCTAGGGGGGTCCGGTGGCATGCTCCCCCGGGAAGATTTTTTTTTAAATATTGAAGTTAAAGCATCAATCTGGTGCACTTGAGGAGCACATTAAAGAGATCTGATGGATACATCTCTCAACCACCCATCATGAAACAGAACTGTAAATCGATTTTTCTTTATGATATTTTTACAAATTACTCCCTTTTTTAACTGTTTATTCTTGTTTTTGTCCCTATAGTATTTCATACACTGTTTCATTAGTTCTGGCTTTCCATCTCATAAGTTCATGGAATTACTGATTCAGTATAATCTAAATTTTTCATGGAAAAAGAGGGTGCCATTTAAATTCAGGTGTTTGTAATGGCGACGTCAGTGGCCCAAACACTGCCCCCACATTACTAACGCAAAACGTTCAAACATGATGTCGACACGATAAAAGCCAGGGCACTATGCCACGCGCATTTGTCAGGCTGACAACCTGCTCCAAG